AGAGCAGAAAACCAGCCTAGTTTGGAAATTTCTCATAAACTACAAATGAAATAGGAAAGGAAAAGGATGAATTGGGTCATCTTTTGTTCTGCAATGACAGCAGAGGCTCCACAAAGCATTTGAGAAGGTCAAGGTAAGATTTTTGGCAGGGCTCAAACAACCCCAACAGAAACCAAACTGAAAAGCTTCACCCTAATCAACCCAAAGCTCCACGGAAAGCAAACTCCCAGTGAAAAGAAGCTGAAGCTGATATATTTCTGCAAAATATTTGCAGTTGCTCAAATCATCCAAAGGGGAAAAAAAAAGCCCCAAACAACAAAACTCCTTTGCCTGTGTTGAGCTGTTCATTTAGAGAGAGAAATGGAATGATCTGAAACTTGTAGCTTTGCTTTTAGCAGGGAAAACTTGTCATCTGAAGATGAAATCAGGCAGGAGGGATCTCTCCCTGAGCTGGGAGAGATTCTGCCCCAGCCAGGAGGAATTTCCCACTCAGTTTCAGAGCTGAATGAACCCAGAAGCAGCACAGATTGTACTTTTGAAGCTGTAATCACCTTAAAACACCTTTGAGATGTAATCACCTTAACGATTACACATCATCACTAGGAGAATACCTGATTCAAACTGATTTTAAGGGTGTAATCATCCTCTGGAAGATGCAATCACCTTGATACCACCCTGATCCTAGTGATGGTGGGATGAGCTCACCCCAAGCAGGTACCTCTGGGCAAGGTAACCGAGTCCATCTGGAGCTCTCAGTATTCCTGTAGCTCATCCCAAAGCTTTCCCAAACCATCTGGCTCCGAGTTCTGTTGTATCTCAGCAGCTTTGTGCTGTGTCAGCAAATCCACAGCCTGTCAATAGGCTCTTTCACCTCCCCCAGCTCAGCTTATGGCACAAACGTTCCCAAAGCAAATTAGACACAAGCCCAGAGGAAAATCTGGGCTCAGGCAGCTTCTGTGTTTGAAAAATGCCACCAAGAAATGGGTGAAGATCCAGGGAATTTCTCAGGAAGGAAGGGATTTTAGCAAACCTAACAGGTTGGTGATGCTTCGTCCTATAGTGGTGGTAAGAAAGGGGGGAAAAAGTACTTACTGCACATAGTTCACATCCTTCAGGCACAATCCTAGTGTTTTCTGGCCAAAAAAATAGGATTTCATCTACAGCAAGTCCTGGGACTCTCACCCACGACAGAGATCTGAGGGGTTTTGTTGTTTTTTTACACCCTTTGCCTGCAAACAGCTTCAGAAATGAGGTTTTTGGGTGACTCAGGGTGGGGAAGGAGCAGAGTTCTGGTTCACAGAGGTGTCTCAAGCCAAGCACATGGAAAATCCAACCCCCAGAGGTCCTGCAAACACAAAATCAAAGCCATGAGGGCTTTGAGGGATCTCCAGAGGTCACCCAGGCTGACCTCTGCTCCAAAGCAGCATCCACACAGCCCAAACTGGCTCTGACAGATGTTTGTCTAACCTGTTCCGGGGCAGAAGATGTGGGGGGAGGGAAAGCTTTGATGCTAAAGATGAAGCAGCTTGATTAGCTTCATTTCAAAATCATTTTTAGGGGTTCCTTTAGTGCCCTTAATTGCAAATATCAAGTGAGAGTTGCAGGGGGAAAGTTCTGCTTGGAAACAAAGACTTTCCCTTGGGAGCATTGGGAGCTGTTGCCCCCACACTCTGCCTTTGTTAGGGTGGGAGGAGGTGGATGTAGAGATGCTCCTTCCCCTCCCCTGAGCCTGACTGAGCAGCCAAAACCCACCAGGATTAAGAGATCTCTCCATATCAACACGAGGTTAAAGCTTTTTAGGGGTTTATCCAAGTTGGAGATATCAGACAATAAAATCTCCCCATGAGCTCAAGCTCCTTTTCTCCCAGTCCAAGAGGATTGGGAGAAAAGGCTGTTCAAGGCAGGATTTTTATGCCTCTCCTCTGTGTTTTTTTTGCAGTTTTGCTTCTCTGGAAGGTTCAGAAGGGCTGAAGGATGTTTTGAGCCAAGAGTTCCTGACGTGGCTGATGACGACTGATCTCTGCAGGATGATGTGAGTGGTTCTTGTGCCTGTTCCTGCTGGCACCAGGATCCCTTGGGATCCCTTTGGATCCCTTGGGATCCCTTGTATCCACAAGCACTGGCAGCAGTGCTCAATCCATGGATTTAGGGAGGTTTAGATGTGCTCACATCACTTGGAAGTGTCCAAGACCAGGTTGGATG